GTGGGGGTGGTGGGGAGCCTGCTCCAACTCTGGTTGATTCTCACTGACTTCAGATACCTCCCCCCCTCTACCTGCCACCACCATGTTCCTTCAACCGCCAGAATTCCCACGGACTGTCCGCCAGGCTCTCTCGTGTCCTCGCCTCGGTCTCTTTTTGCCCGTTTAGTGTGTTTCTCTGGGGAGTTGACTTGTCAGCCTCACCTTTTCTCTCCTCCTCCTCCTCCTCCTCTTAACTTTCCACAGCCGGGGCACCCAGGCTCACAACAGCAGACCTGGATCCAGGCAGTGCCAGCCCTGGGCTTGCCATCCCTGGCGTCCTCTCCCCTCCCGCCTGCAAACCCCTCACTCTTCCCGCTGCGGAGGGAGGGAGCCTGGCAGCCTGGCAGGGCAGCTCTGGGGAGAGGGGCGCGGAGGGCAGGTGTTCTCAGTGATGGTCGGGCTCCCTGTCCGCCTGCTCCAGGGCCTGCCCTGTCAGGTCCGGGCGCTCCTGGTACTTCCTCCTGAAGTCCTTGTGGGACAGTCGGAGGGAAAGTTACCCAGCGAATTGGGTGAGCGACAGAAGAGTCTCCATCCTGTCCCCTCCAAATAGTTTCACATGCTTCCCAAGACAGTTGGGGATGACTGGCCCAGCCCACACGCACACAGTTCCGACCTTTCCCATGCGTTTGTCCAGCACCAGAGAGGAAGGTCAAGATCATCACAGATACTGTCTGAAGTCCAAGACCCATGCTGAGAAAAGAATCTAGCAGAATCTTCTTCTTTTTTTTTTTTTTTTCTTTGCTTGGAATCTAGGACCATACCACCCACCTCAGGATCTGCCTAAATAGAGGGTTTGTGGGTGTTCCTGGCATGGGCTGGAATTTTAAAATCCTACCGATTTGCATTTTTTATGCACCCTAGGTGGGAGGTAGTGAGGGGAGGAAGACAGAGCCTGTGGGTGCCAGGAGAATAGGAACGGCAAGCAGGCATCTGCACCGAGCTCAGCTCCAGGTCCTGGTTTGCACCGTCTCCTGCCAGGGGCCGGAGCCCCCGGTCCCCAGGAAGAGGAAGGGGAGAGGCCAAAGTTCCCTGCTCCCCATTAGCTTTCATTTGGCCCTTTGTTTGAGCAGCTTCAGCCTTTGACTCTCTTGGAGAGGAAGCCAAATGCCTGGCCTGGGGCCCAGAATGACACTCAGATGGGAGAGCTATGCACCCCCGCAGCCCCATGGGGCTCCAGCCCCGCCCCTGTGCCAGCCCACTGGGGGAAAGGAGACAGAGGAGTGACAGGCAGAGCTGTTAGCATCTCCTTCACTCCCCGACACCTCAGCCCCGTGCTTAGGTTGCTGAGCCAAATCTCAGCGCCTCAGTTTCCCCAGTGGGAGTGAAGGAGAAAGCAGAGCTGAGTTGGCCCTGGCTCAGCCCTCTGGCTCTTGTAAGGGTTATGTGGGGGGTGAATTCAATGCAGCTTGAATGGAATAGGAGGTGTTGGCTTATTGATCCCCCAGGTCTGCAGTAGGGTGGGAAAGGCATGAGGTTTGTCATGAATTTGAGGGTGTGTGTGTGTGTGTTCCTCCCAGCCAGAACCATCCCCGCCACCCAGGAGGACTGGCTTTGCAGTGCGTGCCCAGGAACGGCACTTGTGGAATATCGGTCAAGTTCGACATTTATTCCATGAAATTCCTTTCCAGCAGCATTGGTCCCGCAGACACTGTGGGTTAAACCTGCTGGAAAGGGGAATAGTCAGGGGCTGTGAAGCGGTCTCTGTCCGAGGCCTTCTCGCTCCCCTCCTGCCTCCCGACCCTGTCCCTGGCCCAGGAAAGCTGGACAAGAGGAGTCTGTTCCTGAAAACCAAAGCAGCAGAGCTTCCCAGTTTCCTGAAGCAGAATATTTGCTCTGTAATGAGTGAGCTCGGGTGGGGGCGGGGCGGCTGAGGGTTTGGGGATCCTGGCTCCATGTGGTTAATGTCTAGAGAACCGGCCCCTGGGCTCTGCCTGGACAGTACGGTGGGATCGGGTTTCAGGGATGAAATGTAGCAGCGAAATAGCAGCAGCTGACACACTTCTTCATCAGAACACGGGGCTTGGGGGCTGCAACTACTCGGCCAGGAACACATCTCTCCCAGCTCCAGCCGCCAACGAGGGGCCCTGCCTGGAGCACAGGCCTTGGGACCAGCTGTTCCTTACACTCCGCTCCCCGAGGGCTTCTAACAAAGGGGTAGACACGGCACACGGAGGAAGCAGATGTAAGATGCTCACAGGGCGTTCCTCATGAGTTCAGATCAGTAGAGAGCAAACAAAGTGCACACAGGCTGAGCGATGGGGCTCGTGAAGTACAGCCAGGCTGGGAAGGCTTCCTGGAGGAGGCGGCGGTGGATGGAGGCCAGCTCTTGGAAGGCCCACCCCAGCTGAGGCCTAGGGAACCAGGAGAGGGACTTCTCTCAGGCTAGAGAAGGCCATCCTAGGACAACGCGGTGTTGCTAGAAGGTAGGCTGCTAGTGGCCACAGTTCAGGAGGTTTTGGCATCTGGAGGAGGACCAGGCCTAAAGGCAACGAAAGGAGGAGAAAGGGTGGTGACAGAGGAGACACGGCAAGATCAGCCTTCAGCTCTTGGTGCAAAAGAGCACATTTCCTGAGGCAGGTCAACGCTTTTGCAGAGGACCTCACACTGCGGGTCCCTTGATGCGTAGAGCTGGGGCAAAGAGGAGTTTGGACGAGCTCGGCCAGCGTGGCTCAGTGGTTGAGTGTGGACCTAAGAACCAGGAGGTCACGGTTTGATTCCTGATCAGGGCACATGCCCGGGTTGTGGGCTCATTCCCTAGGGGGGGTCCTGCAGGAGGCAGCCCATCAATGATTCTCTCGTCATTTCTATTTCTCTCCCTCTTCTTTCCTCTCTGAAATCAATAAAAAATATTTGTTTAAAAAGAAACGGAGGCAGAGGATGGGCTAGAAGGCTATTAGAAGAGTCTGTGCAGGAATGTGAAAGCCTGAACTAGGAAGGAGAAAAGGAAGGGAACTTTTTGAGGTCCCTTGGATGCCCGAGGAACTTGATTGACCGGCTGCGGGGGGACAGGAGCCGAAGCTGTCGGGGAGAAGGGCTTGGTGAGGCGGAGAGGCCAGCGAAGGGGCGAGATTGGGCTCCTGTGTCTGTCTGCTTCTTGCCGGAGCACACGGCCCCCGGGAGATGGTCCGGATGGGAGAGTGGGCTCATCCATCTCAGACTTCCCCCTTTCTTTCCCGTCCTCCCTCTCTGGTTCTTGGCAAAGTTTCTACTCTACCTGCCTGCTGAGCCCTCCAGCCAAGGGCAGGGCTGTGAAGGTCCCCATTCACTGGGCTGGAGAATGGGCTGCTTGGCAAAAGCGGGCTTTTCCCATTTCCGGCCCTGAACCTCCTTGTAGCTTCCAGAGGGGCTGAAAGGCACTGTGTGGGGAGCCTGGGAGTGAGGGGAACGGGGGGGAGACAGGCAGGGCACACTGCCAGGCCCATTGCTGAGCCGGAGCTGGTGTCAAAGGACCCGGCTGAGCTGGGAGAGGGTGTGAGACGGCTGCTGGAGGCACAGCTGTGGGACCGGTCAGGGGCTAGGAGAGGGCGGGAGGGCTGCTGAGGATGCTGGCGCCCCCCTTTCCCACCGCCACTCCTCCCACACCACGGCGGGCCCAGCGAGTGCCCGGCAAGGGTGCTGGCCATGGGCAGCTGACCCCACACGTCCCGCTCGAGGGCTGGGGCCCGGAGGTCCAGGATGCTGGGGTCTGGCTCCCCAGCAGCAGCGTCCCCTCTGGCCCAGGGCAGCCAGGCCCTTCGTCCTCTGATGAGTTGGTGGAGAGGTGCCTTCCCTGGCTCTTGGAGTCCCTTCCAGACATCATGTTCTTCTCTCTGTACGATGGGACTTTGCACGGCCACTGGCCAGCCTGGTTTCTTTTCACAACAATCCCATGAGGCTGAGAAGTCAGGGGTAAGGATGACACGGGGAGCCCTTGAGTAGGGGCCAGCCTGCGGGGCTCGGGTCCAGTCCAGTCCTCCCACGAATACGCAGGAACCTCAGGCAGTAGATCGGCGTCTCCACTGTAAGTGCGCAACGTGACGTAGGTGATGCTCAGATGAAAAACCAGTTTTAGAGCGGCCATCTGCTCCCGGCAGGTGACATGCATGTCATCTAGGTTCCTATATAAAGCACTTCCACAGGCCGTAGATACAGGTAAGGTATTAAATACTAGTAAGAGCCTAGGCCATATGCGGATATGGTGAGAATTGTGAGGGGAGTCTTGGGAAGAATGATCTGGAAACACTGAGGGAGAAACTGAACCTCCTAGTGGGGAGGACTCCTGCCACCCCTGCCAGCCTCCCGGTCACCAGGGGGTCGGATCTGGCCGGGGAGAGGGGAGGGTGAGGGCCCCTGCCCACATGGGAAGGGTTATCATTTTACAGATTCAGAAGCCGAAGCACACAGGGTGGTGCATCTGCCCAGAGTCACGTGGCTGAGCGTCAGCCTGACCCAGGCCAGGCCTCAGACCACAGCCAGTGGCTCTGCACAGACCCAGGAGCGTGCCTGGGCGTCCGGCTCTAATGTGGGAGGGAGCCAGGCTGGTTTCAGCCACAGCGAGAAAGACTAAAGTTGGACATGAAGACACATTTCAGAAGGAAACACGTGGAGGCTCAGGAGGGGCGGGATGGACGGTGGGTGGTGGACGGATGCTAGGAGCGTGGGGGTGGGGGGCCGCCGTGTGGCCTTTCTCAGGAAAGATTCCCACACCGTTGCTGGGACAGGAGAATGTTCGCAGTAGAGGAGACAGAGGCAGCTGTTAGCTCCATCCCCACCCCGAACAAGTGGGGTGTGATGTGGTCCCCGACCCCAGGAAGGGCCTGAGGCTCTGGGAGGCCGGCTCCGTGGCTGGGATTCCCTGCTGATGGTTTCTAGCTCAGGGCCCTTTCTTCCCTCCCACCCCACACTGCTCTCCTCTCCCTCTTCTGGTCCTGGGGCCAGAAACCCCGGGAATGGGGATCGAGAAGGTCCCACGCTCTGGACCAGACAGCAGCTTGCCCCTGGCTCTCTCTCCAGGGGTGACATCATCCCCTCGGGGTGGGAAAGGCAGCTGCCTCTCAGTCAAGACCCAGCCGCGGCTCCTGCCTCCGTTTCCCACGCTCGGCTTCCTTCTTCCGTTCCCCCCTTCAGTGTCAGCGCTCCTGGCTGGCTGACAAGTCCGCCTGACCATGGGCAGGCGGATGCCAAGGCTCCCCCTTGCCCTCCCCGTCCCGTGTGGGGCGCTGCTAGGACCGGACTAGAGATGTTTCTCCTGGATCAGACGAGGTGGATGAATGGAACCCAGTCATTACTGTGCATTCAGGTCCACTGAGGAAGAATGTTCTGGAAGTTCTCAGGAAGCCTTACGTTCAGATGACAGCCCCAGTTCACCTCCAGGCTACTTACAGTCACTGCCGCACCTGATCCCTCCAGAGCTGTACCCACGAGGCAAGAAGTCTTATTCCCATTTTAAAGAAGGGAGAAATCGAAAAACAGGATTTCAGTAACCCGCCCAGACCACACAGCTCGTACCTGGTGGAGGTGGGATTTGAATCCTGTTGCATGTGTCTCCAGAGCCCAAGAGCTCAAGCAATACAGAGTGCCCTTTTCCACACGGCTGTCCTGTTGGCTCCTGTGGACGTAAATGCGGCCTCTGTCTTACGGACAGCCCCGAATTCACACATACCCACATGTTCGTTCTCCCTGGAAAACCGCACAGATGCCAGCATTATTTCTCAAGGATTTGTCCATACTGGGAGAGACTGAATGGGGTCATTGCATTCCTCCCCTGCCTCCGACCTGGACTGTGTTCAGCCTCGCAGGAGGCTGCAAGCTCAGGCTCCTGGTCTCTTGGGGAAATGAAACCCTGAGATCTGTCCCAACTCCCTCTCCCTGTGCAGTGAGGTGTTGTCCGAGGGCAGCAAGCAGTCTGTGGGGATGATTGGGGTGTTCAGTGGTATTCAGTTGTTTTTTGTTGTGTGTTTTTTTTTAATCACCCAAGGAGTGAGGATACTTTTCCCATTGATTTTGAGAGAAACATCGATGTGGGACACATCGATTAGTTGCCTCCCACAAGTGCCCCAACTGGGGGCGGGGATGGAACCTGCAACCTAGGTACATGCCCTGGACAGGAAATTGAACCCGAGACCCTCCAGTGCGGAGGCTGATGCTCTAACCCCCGAGCCACGCTGGCTGGGCAGTGTGGTATGATGGAGCAAGTGCAGGGTGCGAGTGGGGTTCTGGGCAGACATAACGAGAACCAGTCCCTCCCTCAATCTGTAGATGCACAATAAACGTTGCCCGAGTGACAGAGGAGCCGCGGGAGGGGAGGGGGGGCAGGAGCAGCGGGGCCACAGGGAAGGGCATTTACTAATAAGTGTCTCAGAAGAGGACAGGCACTCTGGCGGCCGGAAGGCCTTGGAGGAGGCTTCTGCATTTCAGATGGGAAGGCGGATGTGAGACATCTGGGGACAGGAACGGCCCTTCAGTGGGAAGGGCGAAAACGACCCCTAGGCTCTAGGTCGGGGTGAGGGGAGAGTGGCATGGGGGGCGGAAGGGGGCAGGAATCGGGAGTCAGTGGAGCAGTCAGCCGGGAAGGGACCAGGGAGACTGAGGATGAGGGCTTTGCTCTGGGTCTCCCCAGCTGAGGAAGGCGTCGGGGAGGTGGTAGCCAGAGGCCAGAGCGAGGGGCCCCAGGAAGCCAGCCGCCCCCGAGGCCACTCGGAAGGCACGGGCTGGCCCAGGCCGTTGGCTGTCAGGGTCCGGCCGTGTGGGGGAGGTGCTGAGTGTGGCGACGCCCCGCTCAGCAAAGGCCTCTTTCTTTGCCCCCAGAACAGTCAGCCCTGCACTGCCCTTAGTGGGCTGGCTCGGGAGATCCTGCCCCTGGGCCCCCACACCCCCCAGGGCCGGGTTGGCAGGGTGGGGTTGACCCTGAAGCCTGAGAGGGTCAGCTGCCCGTGCAGCCCTGCAGAGCCTCTGTGCTGTCCTCCCGTCTCCCGCCCCCACCCCCACCCCGTGGGCTGAGCTGTGTGCATTAGGACCAGGCGGGGAGGTAAGATGATCCCCACGGGTCTCTGGGGGGCTTAGGAAGCAGATGGCCCCCGCACAGGAGGGCTGCTGCTGGTAACCTGAGCAGAGCTGGCGGACCCAGGCAGCTTGGGCCCGGGGACAGAACCTCATGAATGTTATCAGACCAAGCATCCCTCGCCCAGCCTCCAAACTCGGCCCTCGCCCAAGTCAATCCCTCAGCCCCTTCCAGCTGGCACCTGGGACTCAGGCCTTAGACACCCACAAAGGGGCTGGGGAACTGGCCCCCCGTGTCCCCACTCTTGGCCCAGTGGGCCAAGAAGGCAGGAAGGGCACCAGAGCCGAGCGCCAGAGCAGCTGGGAGAGGACAGGTGTTCAGGAGAAGGACCCGGAGGAGCCGGGCGAGGGGTTCCGCAAACAGGAGCTTCCTGACCTCCTGACCTCCGCCCTGGCAGCCAGATGTGCACAGCAGTGAACGGAAACCCCAGCCGACCGCTTCTCACAGGGAGTGTGCTCCTCTTCCCCCACGGGGCACGGGCAGCCTTCCAGCCCCGCGCCACTGCTGCCGTCTTGAGAGTGCTGGGTGGTGAGGACTAGGGCGTGTGGACAGAGCTGTGCTGTGTCTGAATACCCCCTGTGCGCTGTGACCTCAGGCGGTTACTTCACCCACCGTGGATAACTCATTTGTTCAGCTGAGAACAATGATCTGTGGAGATGAAGGGCGATGATGCTTGGAGCGTCCTCAGCACCATTCCTGTGGCATAGTTCATACTCACAAAGCGTCATTGTCCTTGTCGTCGTCATCTGGGGGCTCAGAGGCAGGGGCACAGACACAGGAAGGACCACAGCTGTGCACCCCCCACCCTGATCTCAGCTCACCTCTTACTATGTAATCTTGAGCAAGTTACTTACGTGCCTCAGTTTCCTCATCTGTAGGATGGGAACACTAGTCACTCCCTCACAGAGTAGTGGGGAGCTTAAATATAGGTTCATTTGTACGCAGGCATCTATGCATCCACCCACGGGGTGGAGAGCAGCGCCTGCCACACAGAGTTGCTGGAATGTTATCCTTTATGCAGCCACCCTGGTGTTAAAGGTCCTTCTCCCCAGCTCTGGCCTGCTCTGGGCTGGGTTGTACAGATGGGGTCACTGGCAGCTGGAATGACAGTGGAGGTGTGTGTTGGGGGAGGGGGTCCAGGTTCAGGGCCAATGAGAGGCAGCTCTCCCCCCAAGCCCACCACAGCTCACTGGTTGGCTCTCTCTGTCTCCGCAGATGTCCATGAAGGAGGTGGGCGACGGCCTGCAGGATCAGATGAACTGCATGATGGGGGCGCTGCAGGAACTGAAGCTCCTCCAGGTGCAGACAGCCCTGGAACAGCTGGACATCTCTGGGGGGGCTCCTGCCCCAGGCCGCCCTGCAAGCCCCCGGACACAGCTGGAGCTCCCTCAGTGGGAGGGTGGCAGAGGTCCCGCCAGGCCTGCTGGCCCCTCCCCCTCCAGCCAAGCTTCTCATGGGAGCAGCGCCAGGTGCCCGTCCCACAGGAGTGTGTGGGGTGGGGAGCCAGCACTCGGACCCAGGACCCAGCCGCCAGAGCTCCAAGGCTGTGCGGAGCAGAGGCCGGAGCTGGTGGAGCCGGATGACTGGACCTCCACCTTGATGTCCCGGGGCCGGAATCGCCAGCCTCTGGTGATGGGGGACAACGTGTTTGCGGACCTGGTGGGCAACTGGCTAGACTTGCCGGAACTGGAGAAGGGCGGGGAGAAGGGGGAGCCCAGGGAGGCGGGGGAGCCCCAGGGAGAGAGGGGCCAGCCCCGGGAGCTGGGCCGCAGGTTCGCCCTGACCGCCAACATCTTCCGGAAATTCCTGCGGAGCGTAAGGCCTGACCGCGACCGGCTGCTGAAGCAGAAGCCAGGCTGGGTGACCCCCTCGGCCTCAGAGCCCCGAGCCGGACGCTTGCAGAGAGTCAAGAAGCGGGGCCATCCCAAGGGTCCGGGGCATCTGCCCTTCCCGGTCACGGGGGAGCCCAGGCGAGGGGAGGGCACCTCCACGGGCTGCCCCAAGACCCTGGAAGCCGCGCCCTCCGGCTTTGACGTTAACACCGCTGTTTGGGTCTGAATCCCGATGGGGAAAGCGGACCGAACCCTGAACCCTGCGGGGCCCTGGGGAGGAGGCAGCGGCTGGCCTGGCTTTCAGAAGCCCAACTCCAGGTTCCTTTTCCCCAGAAAGGAGAGGAGGCCAGGTGGCCTGTGGTGGGAGAGGCAGAGACGGCTGGCTGGTAGGGG